GGAACTGCAAGGAGAAGGCATGTAGATACCGACGCAGTGTGTGAGAACGGATTTATCAGTATACAGGGAAGAATACAAACTTTCTTGACATCCGGTCACATCTGCGTCAAAGTAACCTCAGTACATCCGAGTCCCTATGTTCCATTTCTGGTCCTTTCTAATAGCGTCTAGTGTACATAAATATTTTACCGTCGTTGCCGTTAATGTCCACCCTGTGCCGGACAGTAGGAACGGTGACTAGTGCTGGAAGTAGCTTACAGTTTTCGTAGGCTTTTGCAGTATCTACTGCACTCTCATTTGATCCACCGTCGAGGACGCTGTACTATGACAGATCATAGCACACCGGTGGATGGCACCCGCGTTTTTATCTAGGACTACTACCACGCCCCACACGCCCGGACTGTACACAATAAACCAGAGTGCACCAAACAACGATGGAGTGACGGCTCGAATTTCACCTGAGTGAAAATACTATACATGCTACACTAAGAAGCCATTGCAGCTGGACTTCCCGTTCTGAGGGGATATCCAGGTTATTCCGCAGGTCGGCAACCATCAAGGCCACGGCTTTTGGGGTACCGTGATAAATTCAAACGCTTCGCGTTGTTAATAGTGAAAAAAGAGCGCGATTGGCCTTCATCTGCAGCTAAAGCTAGTCTCTCAACCGATGTAGGGGAGGGTATGTGCCTTTACTGACAAAGCTAAGCAGCTCATCTGTGCATGACACCAGCAGCTCAGGCAATGCAGATGGGTGGCTCGGATCTATATGAGAGTGCCGTGGAGACCGCATAAAGAAGGAGCCATTGTAGCCTGATTTTCAGTTGACCAATCCACGCAGATTTACAGTGAACTGACTGCGTGGTCTGAGTTGAAACGTCAGTTGACAAACGCTTAAGTAACGGCTCTTAGCGCAACATGATAACTTCAAATAGATCAGATTGGCTTAAGTGAAGATTATATTCTGATTCGACTCCACTTCCCCCTCCCCCCACGTGCACAATTCGATTGCCTCCGGTGGTCAACCAATTGGTGATGAGAGCGGGCACACTAACTGGCAGAGATAAGCAGCCTGTTTTCGCTTGCTTCACACGATGTGGCCTCCAATCAATACCAGGATTTCACACGATGAGGTGGGCTGCACGGATCTTACATTCTCAAGTGTTCTCATGGAAAAGAAGCCTACTCTTTAGCTTCGCATGGGAAGCTGAGAAGCATCGAATTCTTGCCTATGGTGGATGACATAGGATGGATTCGTGCGTATACTGTGTGTTTGTGTTGACATGGATTCGTTAGTCTGTGTGGTGGATTCGAAAGTGATGTAGCAGCCCATCGTGTGATCTTCATGTGTGGTGGTAATAATGGAGAATCGATTTGGAGTTGGCGTGTCGGTGGTGCTGCTGCTAGTCTTCGTCGTGCT